CTTATGAACCGCGTCGTCCATAAACATTTTAAATACATATGAGCTTTTTCTGTGAAGTAATGAAACGTTTCAGTAGGTTGGATGTACGTTTTCATCTCTAAAATACCTTCATTTTGGAAAAGTTTGTCTTTATATTGAAAGGATTGTCAAGAAATTTTCACTTCATTTTGAGAAAAGTGGTATAAGTACAATTTAGTAGGGTATATATTTCGACTCTTCAAAATTCAAGAGTCTATCCTAAACTGAGGTAAACTATATGGTCTTCGAAATACCGTTTCGATTCCTAACATCACTGAAGAGATATTAATTGTCGAAATCCGGATATGGTGTACAAATGTTTGCACCTCATGATTGCGGTATACCATCTTTTCCGCAAGTTTATTGTTTTCTGTTTGGTATTAAATTAATAATATAGATCAATTTTGTTACATCTTGTGATCCGTTTATTTGGCAATCACCAATGGCAGTCAGCAGGGTTTAAGAACATCATTTGTTCGACCTGTTAGCCAAATGCGTTTTGTTAAAATATACTTTTTCACTTTTTTGATCTTTTGGAAAATGTTGTTTGTGCTGTATTTAGACCCCTCTACCAAGAAATTTGTTTTGCATGCACACTTATAAAAATTTTATCCAACGCAATCATAGGTTTGAACGTTGTTTTCAATTTAGACTTGTTTATGCATTGTATTAGATATATAAGGCGAAAAGATCGTGTATATCGCCAGTTGAACCTGAAGATATTATCGAGCCATCGTATCTAAATCTTGAAAACATTTTCCAGTATGCAATAAATTCTTAGGTCGACATATCCCGCCCATTCGGATTGTATGACACAAGAGTAAACATGTTTTATTTAGGAATAATTTAAAAAAATCTTCCATATATTGTCTTGTAGTGCATGGGTCTTAAATTTCGTAATAAGTTTGATCAAACTGAAGATTAGTGTAAATATTTTTTTTTGCTTCAAATATTGTTATTAAATAGCAGTTTTCCGGAGACTTTGAAGTCTTATTCATGTTTATAAAACTTGAAGTGTATAAGCATTTTGTTTTGTAACAAGGGACACAATGTCATCAATATAATGACCAATACCGTGTATAGTGGTACTCCACACTATAAAACAATTGGTCTACCGGGAACATTATTTCAGATATTTTCTGATGTTTGGCCTCATTGGTGAGCCTGAATGTTTTAAATGACACACAGGGAGCCATCATTCATTTATTTCTTATTTTCTGATATCAAAAAATCATTTTTTGATATCAGGAATTCGAATTCTTGATATCACAAAATCTATTTCTTGATATCAAAAAATCAAAAATATTTTCTGATATTAAAAATTCGAATTTCTGATATCAAAAAATCTATTTCCTGATAATCAAAAAATGAATTTTTGATATCAGGAATTTGAATTTTTGATATCAGAAAATATTCTTTATTTCTTGATATCAAGAAATCGATTTTCTGATATCAAAAAATAGAATTTTTGATATCAGAAAATCATTTTTTGATATCAGAAAATAGGTAATAAATAGTAAAACGGCGCCTCATAGTGGTTGGGGTTCAGGAGGGTGTATGGAACCAATTTTTTTTCAATTTTCACCATTTTTTTTACAAGCAAGTGTTATATCAAAATTAAAGAAAGCTGATGCAATGTATCCACTCTGTGTTGCAGTGTATCGACTATAGGACTTCTAGGAAAAGTGGAGTTTAAAGGCCAAATACGTATATGTATGTTTTTGGTGTTTTAATAGGTTTCAAGAAATGTGGAGCTGGCTTAGAAATCATCATGAGGAATTGCTTTCTTTTCACTTATCTCTGTTCCTCCATTTCTGTAAGAATAGTAAAATAAGTTTACGGACATTGTCATCAAGAACATACAAGTTGCAGCAATGGTGGTTTTTGTGTAGAAAAGAATATCATATTCTCTCAGAATCTTAAGTGATTGGATGCTAATGGAATAACATCCAAGTGCCGTATATCAATGGTTTATCATAAAATCTTCTCCTCCATACAAATTTTATCGTTGACGAGACAAAATTAAACTAGCAGAAAAAAATATTACGAATCAAAAGATAAAAGATTCATGAATATATTGGTATCAAAGCTCTTGTTACTTATATAATACAGATGTAGTAACAACCCCAGTTTATAAAAATGGTATTGTATTTTTTTTAACCAATGTATGATTTTAGAGTTAAATTTATTAATTTTAGAATGACATAGAGACAGCAACTTGACTCAGCCACAACAATCACATCTCAATACTTAAATTAGATGAGCAGAATGTAATAGAACGTCTCAAAAGCAGAACCAATACTAACATTTAATGTTCAATCGAGACTTTGAAAAACAGAATACAAAAGTACATAAGTAAAGTGAAAGGAATACCTAATTTGATCTCTTCACTTATCTTAAGGCATTGTAAAAAAGTCGTATCAGGTTTTGTTTTGCTTCTTTTGTTAAAGTGTGTAGAGGGGACATAACATGATTTAATCCCTTGGGACTTAAGCAAGACTGATGAATGGATTCTCAAATTCTGCTTGAAACTGAAATGCATGACCGCTGGTGCAACAAAACTCCGAATATGTAAGGTAAACAATATGTAAATTATTCTTAATAAATAGATCTAATAAAAAGTAATAAAGTATCACTGGGGTAATAGATCTTCGTATATTGCTTGATAAATTTTTTTGAAACCAAACACTTAAAGCTTGTCATATATTAAAGATCTATCAAAAGAACCCCTTCATAGACAAACCTGATAAGGACGTAGTGACCTACATCCACATCATTTGGAATCTGGTGTATAGTTGTCTCATTGAAAATCATACAACACCTCCTCATTTTTATACAAAAAAAAACTGTAAATAATTTATGACCAGAGGTCAAAATTCGACCATGACTCAGATGTAAACACATGTTTACCAAATATCCAGGATTCATCATTAGTCTTTATGAATTGAACCTTATAAGAAAAGTGAGTCATGATTAGATGTTGATGCAACAGATGTCATCAGCTAACTGAACAAATAGCACCTGAATTGCCCCTCATGACATTGAAAATTGCTAATTAATTAAAAGTCACTGGGCCATGACCTAGGGGGTAGGGCCTCAAAATAGTCGTCAAACAGATATGTACTGATAGTAATGCAACTTCATACAAAATATCATTGATCTATCACAAGTAGATCCTATCAAACTAGCTTAAGCAGAAAACTTAATATTGAAAATTGCTTATTAATTCAGCCATTGGACCATGAATTAGTGGGCAGGGCCTCAAATTAGTTGTCAAACTGATATGCACTGATAGTAATGCAACTTCATATTAAATATCAATGATCTATCACAAGTAGTTCCTATCAAACTAACTTAAGCAGAAAACTAAACATTGAAAATTGCTAGTTAATTCAAAGTTGCTGGACCATGACCTAGGGGCCAAGGCTTCGAAATAGTCGTCAAACTGATATGTACTGATTGTAATGCAACTTTATATTAAATATCAATGATCTATCACAAGTAGTTCCTATCAAACTAACTTAAGCAGAAAACTTAACAATTGTTGACGCCACTGCCGTAGCTGTCGCCACAGCCGTCGCCGGAAAAGCAATCCCTATGTCTCACTTTCCGCGACTTTCGTGGTGTGATTGCCAATGAGACAACTATAAGCAATTATAGCAACCACAGACTCAACAATGAGAAAAACCCATACCGTATAGTCGGCTATAAAAGGCCCTGACATGAAATATATGAAACAATTCAATTGAGAAAACTCACGGCCTAATTTATAACAAAATAATGTACAAAAAACAAATATGACAGACATGAACCAACGACAACCACTGAACTTAAGGTTCCTGACTTGGGACAGGCACATAATGTGGCGGGGTTAAACATATTTATGAGTGGTCAACCCTCCCTAACCTTTAATGTTAGCTTTCCTATTCCTATGGTCTATTTACAATAGAGGCAGCCATTGGGTTTTGTCTGGGAACAGTATATCTAACAATATATGTCAATATATATGTTCCTGGTTTTGTCAAAGAAACATCAGATATTATTTTTAAATGTGATGTACTAGGGATAAATATTACCAAATTTGATTACAATTGGCCAGATTATTTCAGGCAAAAAGATTTTTGAGAAAATTGGTGGAAAAAACAGTGAATGCAAAGTGATGGAAATAGCTAACCCTGGCCCTTTCTTTTCACACATGTATCACCTGAGAGACAATAGGTCAAACAATTTCTTAGCTTTTATCTTTTTACATTCAATGATTACAAAAAAATGCTATCAAAAACCATAAGTTGAAGTAAGACGACAACACCATTGCCAAAAGAATCTAAACAACAGTCCACAAAACACTACACAGAAAACTAAAGATTGAGTTTGTTGGGTATATTTTTACTTTTTAGCACTTTTTGATATTTCTAAAAAGGGTACATAATTTAAGCTATGAATCCTTCATTTTTAAAATTTTACAATGAATTAGCTGACAAAATGTTTAAATATCAGCAAAATGATACAAGTAACAAGGCAAAAGCTCAGACACAACCAAGGCAGACGAAATATTTTTGAAAATATATATTTAAATAAGTTGAAGCCTTTTTCAACTGTTTTTTAGTTTGTTCTTATGTTGTGCTGTTACACCACTGTTCCAGGTTAGATACAGGGTTGAGTGCTCAAAAACATGTTTAACCCCACAACATACTATATATGCCTTACTGGAATACAGTGGTAGTAGTTGGTTGCTGTCTATTATATTTGTTTTTTCGTTTTGTACATAAATCAGGCTGTTGGTTTTCTTGTTTGAATTGTTTTAACAGATTGTCATGTAAGGGCCTTGTTTAGCTTTTGATAGGGTATGGGTTTTGCTCGTTGTTGAAGGCAGAATGGTGACCTATAGTTGCTTACAGCTACAACATATGGTCTCTGGTGGATATCTTTCTCACTAGCAATCATACCATATCTTCTTATTTTCATAAAAAAACAAAAACAAGTGGTATTTTATGAATTTATTTATTTCATTCAGATACAACCTTCCTGATCATAATAAAAAGAAACTATAAATAGAGGTAACAAATATGTTTGTTTTACCATCAGCAACAACAGACCTGCAACAGACTTAAAATAAATCATAAATAAGGTAATAAAGAGTATAGATATTACATTTTAGACCTAAAATACCATAGTCCTTGCTGCATATTCTAATTCTATTTTTTTATAACTGATTCCGGAAATTTTTAAATTCATGTCAAAGTTGTGGTTTAAAAGTCGTTGATGAAAAAATTCAAAACTATGAAATCAATACTGATATCTTTGTTTTGGTAGATCTATAATTCTTTTTGATTTTTGAATTAAAGGGGCCAAAAATGTGGCCTTAACATACTTTCTGCTTTTTCAAATTTTTATTCCAATTCCTACATACTGGTAATAATGATGCATAAAGAAATAAATTTGCAGTTATGTACATTTTAACAGATAACTCAAATCTGTTTCAAACCCACAAATTTAAAATTCCTGTTTGATGGTAAAAAATTTAAACATCTTTGTGACTGAATTTTTCCTCTAACTTTTATCCTATAAAATTATTTTGATTTCAGAGTTTTTTTTTTCACTTCACAAAGTGTCTGAAATAAGTTTAATAGTAGTAAGCTTTGTCTTTAAACAGCCAAAAAGAGATTAATAATAGCTAAAGCAGCTGCAGCAGAAATTTGAAGGTTACAATATTTAACAAGAAACAAAACTAAAAACAAATAATGAAAAAACATAAATGTTCTTTCAATATTTTAAACACAATTATTGTTGGAAATAAAATACAAGTACATATAAAATACAAATGAAATCATATAAATTATCACAGATAATAAATAAGGGCTTTTAAATTCAAGTTGCCTCCTGAAAAAAGGGGAGGGGTGGGAATTTGATTTTAAGTAAGGTTGGTGATATGTGGACCAATTTCTACAATAGGTATATGATATTTTCTATTGGTGGGAGTTTGAGAACAAGAGGTGTTCCCCTCCTCTCAGGTATAATTGAAAAGAAAAGCCCATGGTCAAATAAGATAAATAAGTTGACTTTTATCAATCCATTCTTAATGTCCTACTCAAAGCATGATTTTTTTGTGCAGGACGTTAAACACCCCAATCTAACTAACTAGTCCTTTTTTTATTTAGTGTATAATTTTATCTGCAGTGATGTGATACCTTTTTTTTTCACTACAAGGAGATTATTTGTGAATTCTATTTTCCTATTTTTTTATAAAATTTCTTAACCTGAAAATTCAACGCAGCGGAATATAATCCCTCAATTATTTTGGTTAAAAATTTCAAGGATTTCTTATATGAAATGGGATGATTATGAGTAAGACAAAACATCTTATTAAATATGAAATCAATACTCATGAATTTTTAGTTTTCTGACAGTTATGATAACTCTTATGCACAAAATATAAATTAAATAATGGTAAACACAATCTCACAGTATTTGCAAACAAAACATACATATTTTATTATTTTATTTAAGCATAATAAAAATCTTCTGAAATCTATAGTTCAGTCAATGTGGTTTGACCACAACATACATGTAAAATATGGACGGATATATTTTGAGATGCAATTTGTAACTACATGTATATCATATAAATACATAAAAATAGCACATCCTTTCTAAAATTACTGATTTCAATATAGTGTTTTTTCTTTTTTTACGTATAAAATCTTGAGACCTTTATAAACAAACACTCTGGATATATATTTTACATCAGCTCTTTCCATATAATAAAAAACATTCCAGGAAAAAAATATGTTATCAATAATTACATATAGCTATTGAGCAAATTTTATTTTAATTATGATAACCCTGATACATATTAACTGAAAAGTCTTTTTAAAGAAAACTTAACTTATTATCTCCCTTATTTTAACACTTGCCTATATATATAGAACATAGTAAAGAATATGAAATATAAAGATTTTGTTACTTGTAATGATAATCATGATGATAGCCCTTTCTTAAAAAAATATTTTGTTTTTGCCTTAGATAACTGATAGCTTTTTAGTGTTATCAGAGGTGTTTTGACTCACACTTCCTTTAAGTCTTTCATATAAATGACTTTCACTGTATATATATCGTTCACTTTTGTGATGATATATCCTATGAACCTGTTTTTATAATTTTAAAAAGTGAACTGACATTGTTACTTTTGATAGCTTGTCTACATGCTGATACCACTTGTGTCTTGTATTTACCAACTGTAAATAAATAGAAAAAATACATTTTAGTATACATTCTTACTTAACCATCGCATTCTGTTACATTTATCCCTAAGCACAGTAAACTAGTAAACAATTTTACAACCAAAATGATACAAATGTTAAATAATTTTCTTGTCAATTGTTATCTTATTTCATCTTGAGCCTTTATATAAAAAAGATGATGAAACAAATATTATTCATTTGAAACTTCTGTAAATTCGATATTGTTTATTTCAAACACTTGTAACTTAAATTTAAATTGAACTGACATGTTGCTAGAAAATAGGTTAACACAAGTATGATTATGGTTATAAATAACACTTTAATTCTAGTAGTACATAATCATTGCAGAATACTGCTCCTTTCAACTTGCAAAATCAGTTCAGTGAAAGTACAAATCCAATACTAACATATGCAAACCCTGCAACTTTCTTTTTAATTGTTTTTTTTTTATAATTAGTAAAAAGAATGGATAACTTAAATTACCAAATGGAAAAGACAGGATATAGTAAATTAGTTCATGACACAAATTCCCTAAATGTAATCTGAATTTTTTTTCTTAATCTTTTACCCTTTCCTAATTATTTTTGATATCTTAGTTTTTTCACTTCCCAGAGTGTTTGAAATTATTTTAATAGTAGTAAGCTTTGTCTTTCAACAACCCAAGAGATTACTGCTGGAAATAAAATATAGTCATAATGTGCCCTGCCAAAAGCTCACACCTCACTCTGAGTTTAAGACTGCCCCAAGAGGAATTCTTTGCTATATGTTAAATGCTACAACGGTACATGGAGGACAGACACAGATGAGGCATTATATCATCAATTAACAAATCATAGATTATAAAGGACAAAGGGATCTAACAAATATTGTCAAGCCATTTAGACAGATATAGGAAGATGTGGTATGAGTGCCAATGAGACAACTCTCCATCCAAGTAACAATTTATAAAAGTAAACCATTATAGGTCAAGGTACAGCCTTCAACACGAAGCATTGGCTCACACCGAACAGCAAGCTATAAAGGGCCCCAAAAATTACTAGTGTAAAACCATTCAAACGGGAAAACCAACGGTCTAATCTATATAAAAACGAGAAACGAGAAACATGTATGAACTACATAAACAGACGACAACTACTGTACATCAGATTCCTGACTTAGGACAGGTGCAAACATTTGCAGCGGGATAAAACGTTTTAATGGTACCAAACCTTCTCCCTTTTCTGAAACAATAGTATAACATAACAACATAGAAAGACACACTATAAAATATCAATTGGAAGGCTTAATTCAATCAAAAGATGCCTGCATAATCAGAAATATTCAAGATGGGTTTTATGTCACATCTCAGATACTCTGAATTCCAATTGAAAGAATAGTAAATACTTCAGGACAGAAAAGCTTTAGAATTACAGTAAATGAATTGGTAAACATTACATTTTCAAGGAAAAACAATGAATTGTTGCAGTAATAAAGCCAGTATTGACTAAGTCTTATATCCATTAAATGTTGTTCTGTTTACCTAAAAATTACATTTATTTTCAGTGTAGATTTCCATTAGAAACCTTTTAAATTTGTTAACATGACATACTAGTTTTTTCTCACGGTCACCTATAGAAAATTTCTTTTTTTTTGTCAATAATCATCTAAAGCAATCAATTGAAGCAAAAGGAAACTAACTCAATTGCAGAGAATAGGTTTTCTGTATATAACAGTATTAAGTATAAAATGCTTTGTTTCTTATTTGAAAACTAAATTTCGAAAAAGGTAAAGCATTAGTGAATATGCTAACATAATGTTACTGTACAGTACATTTGATATTATAACCTTTATCAAATTGATTATATTGATATTATTATTTTATAAACATATTAAATACCAATTAGAAGCCATAAAAGTTAAACATAGAAGCTACCAATATATTTTGTTTGAAATTTTCTTTTTCATTATAAGTGTGATGGGACACAAAATGGGGAGGGGGATTTTGTGTTGTGTAGGGTTAACATGGCAAACCATTCTCCATGCTTCACATTATAACAGTGAAAAGGATGAAACTGAATAATTAGCTTGGACAATAAAGACAGATATTAAAATCCATATACAGCATGATTTTTATTCTTAACATAACATGTAAATTTCAACATACCTCTGAGCCTGCCAGATTTCTGTATAATTTGATTAACAATCTTTAAAGAAGCTAATAACTCCTGGTGGTTACTACATCTTATTTTATATCCATTTATTAAGTCTCTATTCAAATTGTATAATTCTAAATAACCCTTCCGCATGTTCTTCCTGAAATGATATAAAAGAATAGTCCATGTATTAATACATTGGTTGCAAAGAAAAACTGATTTCCCCAAAAAATGAAAAATTATATTTCAGATGTGATATACATCCTGTAATTTCACTCCTCTGTATTCAAACAACGATGAAAGTTGACCATTCAATGACAATGATGTTGCACCAAAACCAAGTTAGTCTTATGCAAAAGTAGGTTTCGGACTAGGAACAGTAAAGTGTAAGAGTGTTTAAAGAATCAATTTGATTACAAGGCAGAGTTGGATGTGAACATGTCCTAGCCATTCTTGCAAATCTTAACATTTGGCATATAAAAATGAAATAAAATATACAGTAAACAGTATAGAGTTTTACTGAAGTCAAAAGCCTTACATGTCTCCCATAAGTCTGGCATCTTCAGCTCTTACCACCATACTTCTAATTAAATTGGAATGGTCAGCCATTTCTGCTGTTAACTTTTGTCGAACTACATGGAATTCATCAACCTATAAACAAACAAAAAAAGCAATAAATTTTCATTTACGCATTTCGTGGTTGTTTGGAAATATAATTAATACAAAGTGAATTACACCAAATTTTTTCTATTTAAAGCGCTTTTTTGAGAAAATTTCCTACATCTTTCTATCAATCTATTTTATTTACTATGAATTCTTTTTTATTCTTAGGCACCAATTTTTGTGGATTTCATGGAAAAAGGGAAATCAAAAATGTAAAAGATCAAACAAGTACAAATTTTCTATTGGTTTGAACGCTGACTTTTGCAAAACCACAAATCAATTATCCATGAAAATAAAATTTTTACTCAATCCATGCAAATTTGTACCCAAGATAAACAAGAGTGCACACGCTGAAATGTTTCGCCTTCTTTACTAATCATTGATATTATGTTGATAGTCCTAAATATAAAGCTTTATTACAACTGTCACATAAACTTAACATTAACCAAGTAAACTAAACATTGACCAATGAACCATGAAAATGAGGTCAAGGTCAGATGAACCATGCTAGGCAGGCATGTACAGCTAACAATTCTTCCATACACCAAATATAGTTGACCTATTGCTTATAGTTTAAGAAAAACAGACCAAAACACAATAACTTAACACTGATCAATGAACCTTGAAAATGAGGTCAAGGTCAAATAAAACCTGTGTGACTGACATACAGATCATAAAATATTTCCATACACCAAATATAGTTGAACTATTGCATATAGTATTAGAAAAAAAGACCAAAACTCAAAAACTTAACTTTGACCACTGAACCATGAAAATGAGGTCAAGGTCAGATGACACCTGCCAGCTAGACATGTAAACCTTACAATCATTCCATACACCAAATATAGTAGACCTATTGCATACAGTATCAGAAAAACAGACCAAAACACAAAAACTTAACTATAACCACTGAACCATGAAAATGAGGTCAAGGTCAAATAAAACCTGCATGACTGACATATAGATCATAAAATATTTCCATACACCAAATATAGTTGAACTATTGCATATAGTATTAGAAAAAAAGACCAAAACTCAAAAACTTAACTTTGACCACTGAACCATGAAAATGAGGTCAAGGTCAGATGACACCTGCCAGCTAGACATGTACACCTTACAATCATTCCATAAACCAAATATAGTAGACCTATTGCATACAGTATAAGAAAAACAGACCAAAACACAAAAACTTAACTATATCCACTGAACCATGAAAATGAGGTCAAGGTCAGATGACACCTGCCAGTTGGACATGTACACCTTACAGTCCTTCCATACACCAAATATACTAGACCTATTGCTTATAGTATCTGAGATATGGACTTGACCACCAAAACTTAACCTTGTTCACTGATCCATGAAATGAGGTCGAGGTCAAGTGAAAACTGTCTGACAGGGATGAGGACCTTGCAAGGTACGCACATACCAAATATAGTTATCCTATTACTTATAATAAGAGAGAATTTAACATAACAAAAATTCTTAACTTTTTTTTCAAGTAGTCACTGAACCATGAAAATGAGGTCAAGGACATTGGACATGTGACTGACGGAAACTTCGTAACATGAGGCATCCATATACAAAGTATGAAGCATCCAGCTCTTCCACCTTCTAAAATATAAAGCTTTTAAGAAGTTAGCTAACGCCGCCGCCGCCGGATCACTATCCCTATGTCGAGCTTTCTGCGACAAAAGTCGCAGGCTCGACAATAAATAAATCCACTGTATTCCATATTCATATCATGCTTTTAAATGACAGAGCTTATGAAATATATCATTGCACTTATTAATTCTCTTTTCAAGCAATTAGTATAATAGGACTTTTTGCAGCAGATGCAGAAAGTTTATGAAGAATTTGCTCTTCATATTTTTGTTGTTTCTCTGAGTTTAAAGTAAGATCATTTTTACCTATCAATTTTCAATAAAACAAGAACCAATACCTTGACCAGCAATTCTCTAAGTTTTTCCATTTCCTCTGGAAAATCAGCTGTGGACTGTAAATCATCAATATTCAAGAAAGAAGCCATTGCTTGTAATACATCCCCTGCCATGTCCATATCATCTGTTTTGATTACAACCTGAAAATGAACACATGAAAATAATGTGTATATTCATACTCACACCTTTGAGTGTGAATATCAGCTAACTTCTAGGGCAGTTAACTTGTGAGTGAATTTTGATCTTACTTCTCATATTGGATACTGGCAGTATTATCTTTAGTTTTTGATCAAATGGTCATTCTTTTTCTGCACTTTAGTAAACATAAGAAGAATCCAGTGTAATTTGATTAAGTGACATCCAGAATTTTGCCATCATACATAAAAGTTGGTAGGACAAGGAAATATTCAATAATGGTCCTTTGTATCCAAATATGTATCTAACTTATATTATTGTATCCATACTTATTCATGCAGACCTTAAAACACATTACATTCAAACTACTTGTTTTGGTTTCTTGGATGTATTTAAGCAAATACAGGATCCTTTTCATAATCAAATCTTATTATTTTTCCTAAAAAAAATAGACAAACCTTTGCCTACTTTTAAACATATAAAATTGCTAAAAATGGAAATCAGTTATTTAGTGGCAAAAAAAGGGGCAAAAGCCATGTTAGCTACAAATTAAACAAAAGATAAAATGTGATTTTTTTTTGTTTCAAACATTTTTTAAAGCTGAATATAGAAATAATATTTCGCTAATAGCAGTCAGTTTTGTTCAATTTTGTCATAATAAGCTAAAAAAACATTGCTGATGTATTATTGGCTTGCAAGTCAATAATTCAACTCATTTGAATCCATATTCATGTAACCTTCAATTTATCCTTTAGTGGAGTTGAGGTGCACATGTGTCCACCCGAATGTGGTGTCATGTTGTCCTCACGTTCATTTATTAAAAGAGAAAAGAATATCAACATCGAAAAGTGAAACAAGGGAGACACCAGGAATAACCATTTAGTTGACTGATACAACCCACAAAAAAACTATCATTCTTATGCAAATAAAACAATGATTTACATATATTTTTAACCTATAACTGGAGATCAAACAGACCATAAAAAATTGTATTTATTTGATTGCTCATGCTGATTTACTTATCTAAACATGTATTTAATTTATGTTCATATTGGGTTATTGACCGTAGGCAGTCTTTGGAGGTCACATAGATGGATAATTAGATAGTGTCTGGTCTAAAATATGCAAGAAATGCTGATATATTATAGCGATTCCACGAATTGTTAATGGTTTCTTTGGAATTTTTGAAATTTTGATATTCTTTTAAGTATGTTATAAATCAAATGTGAGAATTTGTGTCAAATCAGTGAACATGAATTTGACAGCTAATGCCCCTTTCATAATTTTTTAAGAACCTGTGCTATAAAATTCCCCTCCCCTATTAGCTTACCTGACCATTAGTCTCCATTTGTATGATAACGGGACCTGATCCTCGTAATGACATAAATGCTACATTCAAATTTCCTTCACATGCTATATCATCTTGTAAGAGAAAACTTTGGTTTATCCATAACAAAACCTAAAATAAATCAGAGGACAATATTAAATTTAATCCCTAAACTGTACTAGTAGAGTAACACTGTCAGGTGTGTTTGATTTGTAACTAATTTTAATCAGAAATTCATACTACGATCTTTTGTACATGAATACAGTGAAATTTTACCATAGGGTAGATGTCAAAATTTTATAAATGAACATACATTCTGTATGTGCCTGTCCCAAGTCAGGACCCTGTTATTCAGTGTTTGTTCTTTGTTGCTGTACATCATATTTGTTTTTAGTTTCATTGTTTTGTACATAGAATAGGCCATAAATTTTCTCGTTTGAATTGTTTTAAATTTGTCATTTCGGGGCCTTTATGAGTTTTGATTATTGTTGAAGGCTTTACGGTAACCTATAGTTGTTAACTTCTACATCATTTGATCTCTGGTGGAAGTTGTTTCATTTGCAATCATACCACATTTTCTTGTATTTTTATTGTCCTTTGAAGATCATATGTTAACAACAATCCTGATAGAATCACTTTAATAGTAAACCAACTAACTTTTTTGCAAGCAATTTATTTACTTTCACAAGTAAAAGAACAAAAAGAAATATGTTTAAACGCAAATCTTCCCTTATATAGAGACATCAAAATAGAAAATTAGAAAATTTCGGGAAAAAATTAGTGTTTAATCACCCCCCCCCCCAAAAAAAAATAAAGTATCAGGGAAAATAAGTTTGTTTACAGTATATCATGATTTTCTTAATTTGCTAAGTGAATTAAAAACATTAACAAGCATTTTTTTAGTATAATCAGATCTCAGGTTGAAAATACACATACCCTTTGAACTCTGTCATTGACTTGATATGTGACGGAACTCTTTGGTTCTGGAATGTCAGGTTTACATAAAGCATACATAGAAAATCTTGGCAACTGTCGCGTCAATTCAAATACATGGTATTGTCCACTGAAACGGAAGAGGAAGATTGATCTACATGATACAAAGCATAAAACATATATACAGAATGAACAAAATTATTCAAAAGCTGACTAATATCAAAATGAGAAAACACAAATTTTTAATGAACAAAATTTGGGAAATTCTTGAAATACAAAGGCAAAACTTACTAGGTGTATGAATTGTTTAATTCACAATATAACATGAGCAGTGGTCACAAAATTAGAAAAATAATCTTAATTAAATGGGAGGGTACTGTCATCCCTTGGAAGATACTAGATTCAGTTAAAGGACACTTAAGTTACTAGACAAAATGTGAAAATATGGATAGACAACAGTTGACTAAAATCATAGTCAAACTTAGATTTATTACCAACCCATGTTTAGATAGGTAGATCTATTGGCAAGTTTTTAGATGTCATATTATGTAAATTGAATTTACTGTCGATTCATTATTATTCATGGGGTTACAATTTTTGTGAATTCATGGACAAAGATGAACCCCAAATTTACATGTCCAACAAACTAAAAATTTCCTATTGGCATGCATGTAGACTTCTGCAAAATCATGAAATCAAGTATCCATGAAAATACTATTATTCATCAATTGATACCATTGAAAAATAAATGAATCTGCAGTACACTTACCTGGATTTATAACCCACAAATGCTTTAATATGTAGATCAACTGGTAGATCTTTGGGCGGTACTATAGGACATTTCAAACAATTGGATAATATACTGGGATGTGGATGTCTGAAAGTAAATATTTTTGTTAAAATTGTAAACCTTCTACTTTTATATTGGATATACATCAGTTTTTTTTTTATCAAGGAATCAAAGCAAAGTGCACAAAATTAAAGAAGAATACTGAAATTATAAAATAAAGTAGTAAAAAAAATTTCTTTTCTCTTCTTAAGGTTGGTGGTTCTCTCTGGGAACTCTGGCTTCCTCCACCAATTAAAACTGGTGCTATGATATAACAGTGTGCAGAAAGCGGTGTTGAACACCAACAATCAAGTATCTTCTTTAGGTTAATATGTTCAAGTAAATCATATTTGACTATACAGAATATCAAAGAGTTGAATTAACAGCTTAGTGATCAACTTTGTTAAATAACATCTATTTTCTAAAATATGTTTTCGCATTTAACACCATGTTGAACAACACTGGCTTTAAGCCTCATTTTTAGCATTTGTTAAAATAATCAAATTCTAAAATCAATTTCATAAAAGAAGATATTGCTATTACTGTGAACATATCAGATTTTTTTTAAAGACATGTCATTTCAACAGTTTTGTTTTCTGTTATATCTTTGCATGTATTTACTTTATCAACTTTTAATTGTGATACTTTTTTAGCTTTTTAAAACAATTTCCCAAAGTTTCCATTAATGACATTATACACCATAAAAAATGAAAAATAGTAACTGCCTAAACAAGATATTTGAATTTGTAAGTTACTTTTAAATGAGAAAAAGAAAAACAACAGACACAGAGAGGAACAGTAGCAAAAGAGCCTCCCTAGAGCAGATATCTACTTATACTTTTACAGTAAGTACTCTTAGAATTAGGTATTCCAGTCCAAGTGACCCCCTAGTAATTTAACATTCTATATAAAGAGTTGTCTAACCTCACCAATATAATTATTGAAAAAAATGAACTTATTAATGGTATACAAACTTAATAGAAGTAATATTTAGTAGTGAAAAATGCAAAATGAAGAATTTTTTTCTGATTTGTTTTATATATTTTTCTACACCAACTTACACAACATGACTTTCTCCATCAAATATTCCTTCAGCAAATAATAATACTGTTCTAATAATGGTATCTGCAAATATATGAAAACATATTCTAATACCAGAAATTGTTTTTGTATATATAATAACAGCTATTATGTATTAATTTTAACATAATTATAGATGCAAACTATTTTGTGACTACTGTAATGAAAGTTACAGAAATCTGTATTTGACAGATGATTTCTTTCTTGTAGTATAAAAAAAAGTTTTTTGGGGAAGTTTAGGCAACTGGTCTTCTGCATTTGTTTCTAAATCATAAAATGGAAAGACTTTTTGGTCATTGAGGTTTGATGAAAACCTCTAAGTAACTGAGCAATTGGTGTGTGTTTGTTTTGCATCTACATGCATTTTTGGTTTTTCCTTTGATTTGTGTGCTGTGTAAATTGCATACTGTGGATGCATTTATTTTCGTGGGTATCAATTTTTGTGGATTGAGGAAAACTTGCATTTTTGTGGATATTTGATTTCGTGGTTTTGCCAATCTCCGCATACAAAGCCTATAGACAATTTGTAATCGTTGAACATTTAAATTCGTGGTTCACCTGTAATCATGAAACCCATGAAAATTGGTATCCAACGAATAATAATGAATCCACAGTACCCTTTTTCCAATCATGGACAACAACCACTTGTTTATCCTTAGGCAAAATCTATGATCAAAACTTACCATTAGTTGTACCAACAAATAGCTCCACATGTGGCTAAAATAAACAAAGTTATCAAACTGAACAAATGAGCATTGTATTTATAGATTATCGTTGGTCATCTCAACGAGATTGATTTTCTCGCTTGAGCAAGTAGGGCGAAAGTGAGAAAAACAATCGAGTTGAGATGACCAATGATAATCTGTTTACCGCTATTTTACCTATGACGACGTTGTTAATTTCATTGACAACGGCATGTGCACCCTTAGTTTCTAGCGATAATTTTTCATATCACTCTACTGTTCTGAGAAAGGAAATTATCAGTCAGTAAGATCGAAGGAAAATTTCGTAAAATAGCGATAACATATTTATCATTACTTGTCTTATTTTAATATGAAGCAAGCAATATTTTTCTTTCTCTCAAATCTTTTTTTAGCTTTAAATTTGTCTTCATGTGAATTCATTTAATATACACACAAGGGCCATACAGAAAAAAAAAACATGAGTATTGAAAGGGACTTTCTACAAAGTGTATGAATTAAGAGTGATTTGAAGCATATTTTAATGGGACAGCAATCCAAACATTGAATAGCATTAAAAAATCTACAATACAATCTGAATGGTTTGCTTCCTAGAAAGTGAATGAGACATAATAATTATTTTTCAAAATGACTGTCTTAAGCCAATAATAGTTTAAGTGTATAACATAGCACTTGAACTGTGTTCTCTGCCCAAACAATGTACTTGTTTTGCTGTTTGGCTAATTTATTTTCATTCCTTTATATGAATTTCCACAGATAGCTCATAAGAATGTGATTATGCTGATCCCTTTATTAAGAAATTTTTACAAAACAAAATATGTTCATAATTTCACATTTGAAATAATTCTAGCTGGCCAATAAACAAATTAAAAATTAGTACACTGTAATTAAATCATTCAAATTTAAATCCGATAATTATACTTTTTTCTATCAATATGAAAACAAACTTACAGGTTTCCCTTCTTCTCCAGGATTGACTGTTAATGTTGTCTGTAACTGTGTTGATGCCTGTGGGGTTAAAAGTTAATGCAATGTATGATAGATTTCTATGAAGATTTCATCAGTTCTCTATGCAATTCATTTTAGTGTGTCTCCTAAAGTGTCTACATATTTGTACATCCCTGTTTTTCAAATGTTTGGGTTTGAGCATTTCTGATGAAGGTAAATCCAGAGAAGTGCTACTGACACACAAAATTTATGATTTTTTTTTTTATTTATTGATTATTCCAAAATAGCTTTCTTTAGACAAAATTAAGGCTTTGGTTAATATCATAGAGTAGTACTTAAAACTTGGTACTAGGATCTGTATTGATTTTGTAGTATGGCATAAGCTCTTTAATTTCTAGATGACAACAGAAATTCAGTACTGCACATTTGAGTTATGGTTATTGGCTAGTATTTCTAGGCTTTGATGTTTAGAGCATATCCGACTAAAATCCTTTTATCTTAATAATTTTTCACAACCTTAGTTTTAAGTACATTAAAAAAATTAATAATTTTCAATCCCAATGTGTAATTTGTAAATGGGAAAAAGGAACATCCTTATTTACCTTTTGTAACATTTTCAAAACATGTGTTTACACATAGGTACAGTTACTAAGAACCAACTTACTGGAATAACTCCCATAGCTTGTTGATCTAACTCTCCACCAGGTGGGAAAGGTTTCTCTGCTGAAAACTTATTTCCACTAGCAGCAGCTGATTGTTGCATCTGTAAGGCTAAGACACCTGCTTTTGTATTCTCATCATAATTCTTCAGCTCCATTTGTAAATTCTACAAAAATTATAAACATTCTTCAAAATACATATTCATTGTTTATCTAAGCATTTGAATCATATAGTTAGTAAATATATTTTTACAAAGCTTAATATTTAAACTGATGTTATTCATATAAATAAACTTTGAAAAATTTGATTACTGTTCTATCTGTATGATAATTAACAAAAATTAAAGTTTGTATAGGATTGTTAGATACTTTCTGCTTTGTTTGTATGTTTTTGGTGTTTAACACCACTTTCAGCGACCTAGCTATCATCACAGCCAGTTTTTATTGGTTGATGAAGCAATAGTAACTAGAAAGAACCATGACCTTCAAAAGGAAAGCTGGAAATCCTTGTCAAAGAGAGGCGAAAGATACCAAAGGGACATTCAAATTCATAAGTAGAAAAGAAACTGACAAAGCCATGTCAAAAAAAAAAAGACCAACAGACAAACAACAGTACATAAAACTAAAGACTGAGCAACACGAACCCCACCAAAAACTGAGGGTGATCTCAGGTGCTCTGGAAGGGTAAGCAGATCCTGCTCTACATGTGGCACTCATCAAGTTAGATTTAAGTCAAACACAACTGGTCACAATCCGAGTTCAAACTCACAATCTCAGAGTTGACAGGTTAGTGCTGATGGAAAGTTAACCATGACCTCATGTTACAAGAAACCTATAACAATAGTATCATGAAAAAGATGAATGAAATCATAAAAAAATCATAATTCTGACCTGTTTTCTAAGACTTAGTTCTCTAATAGTATCCTGCTCTAAGTTGGCATCCATCAGATTTCCTCTCATTTCTGCTGGAGCTGGATTGTATGCTTTTACTATAATAAATGAAAATTAAGTTAGAAAACATTCACATCTAAAAAAAAATTCCGAAAATATATCAATGAATTTTATTTTTCTCTTGCTTCCTTTTCATGCTTAAGATACCCTTTATCTTTCTTTTTTTTAAATACACTTAGATTTTAAATATGTCATCTGACATCAAATATGAATTTTGTGATTTTTTAGAAAACAAGCTACTGCTTGTAGTGTATGCCCTTATGTTTTACAGTTAGGGTTTTTTGCTTGTGAGATAGCTGTCTATATATTCTTATTTTTATATTTTCTGTGGATTCATTATAATTCATGGATTTCATTGGTACAGGTGAACCATGAACTTAAACGTTCAACAAATTACAAATTTTCTATGGGCTTGTATGCAGACTTTGGCAAAACCATGAAATCAAATATCCATGAAATGCAAGTTTTCATCAATCAATGAAATTCGGTACCAATGAAAATAAACAAGTGAAACTGTGAGCTACTGCTCACTGATGATACCCCCGCCCAAATATTTCGGTAAACAGAAAGTTGTTGAGTGATGAATTTGAAAACGCATCACACGGTATAGCTGACTGATATAAACCCTGAAACCCAATTTCAGAAATCCTTGTAATGTAGTTCCCAAGATAAATGTGACGAAAATTTTCAACTACTTGGATGTCATGTGTAAAATGATGTAAGTGTTCAGTAAACAGGAAGTTGTTGAGTGATGAATCTGTAAACGCATCACACGGTATAGCTGACTCATATAAATGTATGTATTTAAATATTTAGGGAACTATATTATTACATGTCTAGATGTTAGACGAAATGTAAATTAATGTATGTAATAACAATGATAATTGTAATGATTTTATGGCTCTGGTACTGCCTGGAATTAAATGTATGTGATTTATATAGAATGGAGATAATAATATGTCTGAACTATTTAATGTTTCATTTCAATGTATAAAAAAAATGTTTTTCTGTTACAAATCATGTTTTGTTTTATGTGTACATGTCATGCTGCCCATCGAGGGCCCTTGATTGGAATAATAAATATTCTTATTCTTATTCTTCTTATAAACCCTGAAACCAAATTTCAGAAATCCTTGTAATGTAGTCCCTGAGAAAAATGTGAAGAAAAATATTCATGGGACGGACGGACTGACGGATGGATGGATGGACAGACAGAGGTAAAACAGTATATCCCCATTTTTTTAAAGCGCGGGTATAATGAATCCACAGTGTACTAGTATTTGTAGCACAAGATACTGGTTGATCAAAAGACACATATCAAAAATAATTTGAATCAAAGCATAGTTTCAGGTAGATATATTAAAGGACAGAAATCAGTCACTTTCAAATTAGAAATATTCATTTGTATCACTGAAAAACGTGTTCTTTTATGGTTGAGAATATTATATTACATCACAAGTTTCCTCATTTAAAAAATAAATCTAAATCCTGACTTACTCTCTCCTTCAGTAGAAACACACAACAACTGCTGAGTTCCATCAAGTCTGTAATCAGCCTGAAAGCAGATATTTGTTTCATTGAAGTTCCAATCAATCTAATAATCAGGAGTATGATATACATGATTAGCAATCAATTTTAATTTGTTTATCATATTTTGCAAGACAGTAGAAAAATACACATAACAAAGATAATTTTAATTTAGTGAATGAACACTTTATATCTTGATATATTGTGTCAGTACCTATCTTTTGTTGGTCTTAAGATGTGTTTTTGGTTTTTGTGTATTCTGATTGATGTATCACATCTCCCTTTCTTCAAATCAAATCAAAAGAATATAATAATACTTTTACATATCTTTAATTTTCACAAACCTGTACAATACCAGCAACAGCAGATGCAAAATTGTCTTTGAATATAACTTCACCAGTTCTGTCACTTCTGGCATCAATCTGTAGAGAGAAAAAACAAAGTAAAAAATACTAGGGGGTGTTTAAGGATCCTCACTACCCATGAGGGTCTTGTATGGTCGGTAAAGTAGAAAATAATAGATAAATCTACAATCTAAAACTCTTTTAAAATGTAAAACTAGTGGCAAAGTTTAAAATAAACGAAATTCAACTATTTACATTATAACGCAGTAGTGTAAAAAATAATTTTCTAGTTTTCTGGATGTTAATTAGAAATTGCACTTACCATAGGACTAACCATTTGATAAAGCAAGCACGCAAATACATTGCTATAAAATAATCATTGGCATCTTAACCTTACAGCATTTTACTCTAACATGTCACCAAATAAGTTTCATTGAAAATACAATAGTTGGTATTTTGCTAACTTGATTTTTGTTATGCAGTTAAGTCATACATTATACTTAAACCTGTCATTAAATTCAATAACTACATGTATTAACAATTTTCGTCATATCTTTTCCAGGTGTCAAGGCAAAGGCTCTATATGTGAAAAATGTATTTAATTTCTATGACAATGTATTGAGACACATAAATTAAGTGACCAAGAAATTTTGTATCAATCTGTTCATCATGATTTTTTGGGACAATATCTGAAGATTTTGTGCAAACATTCTTTTCAATGTTGTTGAGGTAAACACAGTAGATCTCCTGTTTTACCAGTTGTCCTTAAGTATTTCTAACCATCTCTATGGGTAATAGGATAATGTATATGATTTGTTTCCTTATTTAAACATTCTTAAGTACCTTTCCATTACTCCATCCTGTTATTAACTCTGCTACACCATCAGAATCTATATCAAAACTGTGTATAGTCAGGGCTTGATTCTTAGACTGAAATATACAAAGTGAAATCTTCATACATGTGTATGTTAACATACCTAAATCCAATTCTATTATTATTTATAAATTACAATATAAAGCCAAACAAAAATTCAAAACACTTATCACTTTTTTTAAAACATTTCTTGATACAACAGAAACAAGTACTTTTAAAAGTGATCGAGAAATAGCCAATGGGAAAAAAATTGTACATTGTTTTTAAACTCGTCAATTTTTTAATGGAAATGTCAAAATTTAAGCTTCCCCTTAATTTACACTAGAATAGACAATACCATTTTGCAAAAACAACTTACCTTAATTCTCCAATATCTAGCTGATCTATCATAAACCCCTACAGTACCATTAGCCAAAGCATATCCAAACCTAGAATCCATCATTGGACACAGAGATGTAATGGCCTAAAAAAGTAGAATTATGAGATCACAGTATTATAACTCAAGAATTTCTTAAATCATAGATTTGAGAATTCAGTCATTATATTCTACTCTACGATGGCTCTATTAATATCTGAAGGCATAGATTTATCACATCTTTGATGATACAATAATTATAATCAAAAGTGCAAAACTGTTTCACTTGAGCAATTTTGACATCAACAGTTACCAATTTTTAACTAGAAATAAATTGTGAAAAAATGTTACTAGCATTTACCTTTTTGGAAGGGTATTGGTAAACAGATATATAGCCTTTACTATAACTTCACATGGACTAACATAATAGAAAATTAACCCAACATCAATATATATATGTAGGAGTAATTACCTCAGTTTCTGTCATTTCAGCAATAATCTCATCCTCTCTAAAAACTCTTATATCAAAATCTTCAGAACCAACTACAAGCTGTAAAAGAAAAATAGATAAAAATTATATCTCTATTCATTCTAAAAAAAAACGTTTTAAATAATCAAAAACTTTCAATAATAATAAAAAGATAGTTTTTAAAGGTAGATACATGTTATATTTCTACCTTATCATATGTACATATTTATATTCTGTTTTTAACAAAAAAGAATAACTTTTGTGAACATATCTTTTTCGATAATGGAATATACAATTTTATCCAAAGATTTAAATATAATTATTTTCATCATTTCCTCAATGTGGTATTTTTTGTGCAGTTGTTAATACACTGCCTTGAGAGTTAGGGGATCGTAATTTTCTTTTTGACAAGTGCAGTGTTCTCCCCAGGATTTTTGGATAGCACCAGGGTAACGCGTGTGGACTTCTTGGTGAAATATTTCATGCAATCAGTTGTGTCGCATCGCGTCGCTTAGCTCTAGTTACTGTAGTTTTTATGTCTCTTGTTTTTTTTTAATACTGTGGTACTGTGTTATGTAGACATTGATTCAGAAAATTATTGGTAAAATAGAAGTAAATCAAAAAACAGTTTGTATACTTTAATATTTTTTTTAAATAAATAAATTATGATTCATAATAAAATATTAATCTGAATTTAAAGTAATTAAATCTTTTATAAAATCCCAAATCAATAAAAATAAAATATCATTCAAAAGTGAACAAAAATGTTCTATTTAAAAAACTTTCTAGATAATGATTCTAGAAAAAAGTTGTTGTATGTGAAAGGATTCTTGTCATAAGAAGATATAAAATTAACAAGAACAATTGCAAATATTGTTTTATTATTTGAACCAGTTTCTATCTTAGATTTTAATAAAAAGAAATTTTTCATAAATTTTAGAACATTTTGCCATAGATTTCATGTAAATATTAACCTTTCTTGTCTTTGGTGATAATCAAACATAGATACAGACTTAATACTGCCCTGAAATCTAAATCTTTATTTGTCATGAAAAGGAATTCCTAAATCTATAAATTTATCTTTGGTCTATAGATCTATAAGTAACCATATTCAATGTCAACAACTAAGTCTCCCTATTTTACCCGCCTAAATGACAGGAAGTAGATATAAATAGATTTAACATGTGCTTATGGATAAAATTTGCAAGAATTAGATTACTTCTGTTATTCATTGATTATGGATATAAATATTCAGTTTTAAGGTACAGTCATGCATTTTATTTATAAAATATAATAGATTGCAATTAATTGTAAATAAAAGTGAATATTCTACGTGAACTAACTGGGTCATGTGATATGTACAGACAGATACTACAGTTTGAAACCCGACTATCATGCAATAACTATGTCATAATTAAAGATAATATTGTCCATGGTTTAATCAGAGACATATAATACTATATTATAAGAATTGGGAAATGTATAGTTGTCCATTATACGTAATGAGCCACCTTTATGATGTACACAAAATGTACCTATCGGGTCAAGACACTGTTTGTGTACAAAGTATTTACCGACTTGTCACAGGTCAGTGCTTGGGTGGAGAGTGAAGCCATAAAATAGTTATCTGTGATCATAAAGTTATGAATTCTTAAATAAAACACAAAAGAATCATGTTACAAGTGTTAATTACTGTTTTTACATCGATTAAATGCAATCAGCAAGGTTAACCTCCTAAGGTAAATCGATCACGTGGTGTAAACAATCTGTGTTGAACTGGTTTGAACTGGTCAAATTTCACCTGGAATTTTATACCGCACGGAAAAGATTTAACAAGTCGTTTAAAACTTTACCGATTTACGATTTTTTAACTGAAAATTTTAGCACCACGGATAAAAATTATACATCGCGGTAAGAACGATACCACCGCGGTAAAAAATTATACATCGCGGGCCCGCGGTCCTTTAAGGGCCTGGGGAGAACACTGAAGTGAAATATCATCAATGAAAAGACCTGGGCAAGTAAAGGCTAGTCAATACATTTTAAACCCTAATTTTATGCTATTTTAACCATATTTAATAAAAAAAAAAAAGCACTGACAACATCATTTCAAAATCTCATATATTTCAAATCTAAAACACATTTAATCATTAAAAGGAATAGAACATATGAAAACTTTCATAAAACTTTCCAGCACTTTTATCGTTCTCAGACATCAACAATTAAAAAAACTGGATTTGGTGTTTCGAGCACAAATTTTGTACTCAGACTACAGAGTAAATTTTATAACAGAGAGCCATGGTGATGGAATTATGACTTTCATGTAATATTTCCATCTTTAAACCTGTGTTTAAGACAGATAGATATTTTTTAATATTACCTGATTTTGTCCTTGTGCATTAAAATCCACCAAAGCAAGGGAACATACATTGTCTCCAGTTACCTGTCAATAAAGTATGCATAAATATAGATTACTAATATTACATGCAAAACATAACTTACAGCAAGTCACTCCTTTAATCTTAATTGAAATGCACTATAATTTCAATGTCAATTCAAATAAAAAATACCACCTCCCACCCCTTTACCACATAATTTTTTGGTTTGTTTAAATCATCAATGAAAGTCAAGAAAATAAGATTTTTTTAAATTGGTCTTTTGTCCATTACTATGATTGATCAAGGAACAAACAATCATTCCTCGATTATTTGTAGTTAACTATAGAGTGTATAAACAGATTATTAGTCTCAGAAATGCATGATGTACTATAGTGCTTAACATATCTCCTTTAAGAAGCAATTTCCAAATTTTGTTTTATATTTCTAAAGACAAAATAATATAGAAAGAACCAAGTCTCTTTAAGTATCTTATTCAATACTGTAAACCAACTTATTTTCATAACGATGCCATAATTTCCTAACTTTGTTGGTGTATTCTTATAAGAGAAAATACTTTTTGTAATATACACAAATTTTTTTCTTCGTGAAAAAAAATGCTCACAAAATTAAGTTGATTTTCAATATATTGTAGTGGATAAATATAAGCCTTAATGTAAGCCAGATGTTTTGAAAATGTTTCATAGTTTTACTAATAATAGTCTGTTGTCAATGAATCTACTCACTGTCCAAAATATATCATTTCCATCCTGGTTATATCCTTGTAGTGAACAATTACCACCAATCAATACCATTGGTTCTATAATGGTTCCTAACTTTCCTATAACAATACAGTTGGCCCCATCTGCACACTAGAAAAATATTTTGAAGATGAATGCTTAGTACATAATTATACATATGTGTTACAATATTTTATATTCATTTATATTAAAAGTGTTGTGAAAATAATTTTGTGTGTTTCTGATAGAAAGCATATTCCTTGAACTGTTTCTCTTCATTCTTATCATCATGATCATGATAATTTCTTATCTTAAATTAGAATTGAATGCTTCTTTTTGTAGTTTTATGGGGCTGTTAAAGCATTGAATGAAGTGAAGAAGTGCTTTGTATTACAATGTGTGAACAGTCAATAAAGGAGTTGGTTCACTAACTCATAATTTTGGCATAGAAAATCTGCAATGATATTGTGAAAATTTGATGAAAACATATGTTAAAATGTCAAATTATTTTAGGCAAAGAAGATTTTAACCAATTGCATCATTAGTGATGTATTTGTGACATCATAAATGAAGGTGAATTTCACGAAAAATCTAATTTTTTGCATAATATTTTTGCTGAAATATTCTTAATATACCATATTCTTTACTTTTTAACAAACATTTCAATGGGAGAGGGGTGGCTACACATATATCATGAAAAAAGGTCACAAATTTCTAGAAAAATGGACTAAAATGAAACCTATTTCTTTTTTTGGCTAACATATTTATAACATTTGAAGCAGATATACAACTGTCTTATTATACTTTTAAGAATAAAACATTTAACAAAACACACATTAGATTAACTCAAACAATTGAAGTTTAAAACATACACCTTTACAGGGCTGTTTTTTGGGGGTAACTGGCTCTACTTCTTAACAACAAAAAATTACTATGAACAAAAAAGCAATCAATTCTTATAATTACAATTTAAATTCTTAAACCATGACATAATGAGTTAAATCAAGCTTTTAATTTGTTTTGTTTTAAATATTCCTATGCAATGTTGAAACATTGTCATGGAGAGAACATGTATGTATTCATGGATGTTGCATTTTATTGAAACATAATTATTACTTTAGTACACAACATGATTGTTTTTTACCAATCAAAATGATGGAAGCTTATAAAACATATACGTAATGTGATTAGTTATTGATGCAGGCATTTTTTGTATTATGATAATCTGGTAAAATAACAAATGACTTTATAATGAAGCTGTGTAAACGAAATTTCTCTGGTAATGAAATATAGTTTAAGTAATAGAATTTTACATTAAAACATAAGACATTTATAAATAAAATGACACAATTATCACTATTTTGGTGTATTTTTCCTTTGATCCTTTTTTGTGATAATTTTTCATATCATGTTACTTGCATGTGATAGAAAATTATCACTAGTATCTAAGGCCAACTTGCAAAAGCGTATTTTTTCTCAGTTGAGAGAAAGAGAATGTATGACGTCATGAGCCTACATCATTGACGTTGCATAGGAAAACAGAAATTAACAGATTATCAATGGTCTTTCAAGCTCGAGGTTATCGGCCTTCAATGAGATTGTAGCTGAGAAACATCCTCTCGTTTGAAAAACCAAAGATAATCTATAAGTATATAATAGTTGATATATAACTCACATCCTTATAAAACAAATCACTATTATTATTGACATCATAAGCCAGTATATTTGTTTGTGTTCCTATAGCCAGTATATCATTCTTTCCATTTAGTGATCCAGCACACACTGATGATACTTGTTGATTTATATTTAATAAATTGATATCTTGGTCTTTTGTGGTGTCCACTCTTCCTCCACGCTGACCTCTTGTGTGTGGACTGTGAATCAATACCTGAAAAAATATTTATGTCTTACATCATTTAACAATATTTCAATCACTTTTATTAAAACTGTTAACTTAACTAACTAGAAGCTCTAAAGAGCCTGTATCGTTCACTTAGGTCTAAGTGCATAATCAACAATGGACTCTCTCCAACATTGTAGACTAGAATAGAATTTATGTCAAAAATTTCTTTTTTGTTGATCTTGTATTTGCAGCTTTTGCTGATCATTTTGTCTGTTTAGTTTCTCTCTATCTTCTTTAAGTTGCTCAAAACACAAAAGAGGGTAAAAAATAAATCATCATTTAAGGGCATTCACTCCTATGAAGAGTGACAGTCTACTTACTATATCGGCAACATTTGACTTGTTAGTGGATCTTGCCTTGCTGATCACTTTTGTTATTTAAAATTTCGATTTAACAATTATGGTTATTAAGATATATGGCAAAAACACAAAAAAATGGTAAAAATCATCATCAAAGGGCAATAACTCTAATTTGGAGTCTACTGACGATTTCAACCTTGCATACTTATTTGTAGATCTTTTCTTGCTGATCATTATTGCAACTTATATCTCTATCTATTATAGTTTTCAAGATAAAAAAACAAAAATTAAAAAAAATTGGTAAAATTTGTCATTTAAGAGCAATAACTCCTATAAGTTGCCTGATGGCTTTGATGTCAATAAACAATTGGTAGAGCTCAACATTCTGAACATTTTTGCCCTGTCAGATTTTCAATATTTATAACAGTTTTCAGAATAATAGACAAAACTTGCAGTTTACCCCTATGTTCTATTTTTAGCCATGTCGGCCATCTTTGTTGGCAGGCAGGGTCATCGGACACATTTTTCAAACTAGATACCCAAATGATGATTGTGGCCAAGTTCGGTTAAATTTGGTCCAGTAGTTTCAGAGGAGAAGATTTTTGTAAAAGTAAACGGACGACGACGGATGACAGACACCAAGTGATGGGAAAAGCTCAATTGGCCCGTTGGGACAGGTGAGCCAAAAACTGGTAACCCTTTAAAGAAACACATGCTGTTACTTTGTGTTTTTTTATTTGTGTTGTTGGGTTGCTGTCTCATTGATGTATACCCTGAATAATCCCATATCTTTTTTTATTCATATTGAATACTTGTTGATCTCAAATTTTGCTGTTACAATCCTTAATTCTTTGTGACATGTTTAAGGAATGTACAGTACTCGTGAAATTAAAGCTTAGCAAGCGAAAATCAATACAATATAGTTATTTGACTCTGAAGCTGTGAATGTAGACAGGCTTAATTTTTACATAAGACATTTGATGTATCAATAAAATTGAGAATGGAAATGGGGAATGTGTCAAAGAGACAACAACCTGACCATAGAACAGACAACAGCAGAAGGTCACCAACAGGTCTTCAATGCAGCGAGAAATTCCCGCACCCGGAGGCGTCCTTCAGCTGGCCCCTAAACAAATATATATACTAGTTCAGTGATAATGAACGCCATACTAAACTCCAAATTGTACACAAGAAACTAAAATCAAAAATAATACAAGACTAACAAAGGCTAGAGGCTCCTGACTTGGGACAGGCGCAAAAATGCGGCGGGGTTAAACATGTTTATGAGATCTCAACCCTCCCCCTATACCTCTAGCCAATGTAGAAAAGTAAACGCATAACAATACGCACATTAAAATTCAGTTCAAGAGAAGTCCGAGTCTGATGTCAGAAGATGTAACCAAAGAAAATAAACAAAATGACAATAATACATAAATAACAACAGACTACTAGCAGTTAACTGACATGCCAGCTCCAGACTTCAATTAAACTGATTGAAAGATTATGTCTTCATCATATGAATATCAGGCACAATCCTTCCCGTTAGGGGTTTAGTATCATACCATCATAACATATATGAGAAGAACATAACCCGTGTCATGCCAACAACTGGTTTTTAAATAAATGTGTTTAGTGCCGATGCAAAGACCCTATAAGTGAATCAATATTAACGCCAAAATATGCAATTTTTAATGACCTGACAACAGTATCGTAACTATATCCCTTCTTAATAAGTCTATTTAAAGGTTTTGTTAGCTTCAGAGGTGATACTGACATTTTTGTGCTTTATAAAGAATATTTCCATAAAAAATTGGATGTGAAATACCTGAACGTATAAGAAGTCTGCATGTTGAGCTATATTTACGAATGATGTCCTTATACCGATGATAAAATTTAGTAAATGTTTTGACTAGTTTGTGATATCGAAAACCCTGGTGTAATAATTTTTCAGTAATACATAAATTTCTCTCGTTAAAATCTAAAACATTGTTACATACACGAGCGAATCGTACAAGTTGAGATATATAAACACCGTAAGATGGTGACAAGGGAACGTCACCATCTAAAAATGGATAATTAACGATAGGAAATGAAAAATCATCTCTTTTATCATATATTTTAGTATTAAGCTTTCCATTAATGATATAGATATCAAGATCGAGGAAATACCCATTTGTACAAAATGTTTGTTTCTTAAGCTATTTCAGCTACTTTGCATTAGCTATACATGTATCAAGTTAGTCAGTTTTTTCTTGTTGTTTTTTTTTTTTTGGGGGGGGGGGGGGGGGGGCGGAAGCCAAGAGTACCTGTAGAAAACCATTCACAAAAAAGGACAAAATCTATCCAATGTAAAGTCAAACAACCATGGGCACCTTACCTATTTTACCATTTTCAAAATTATAGACATTTGATATAAACACTTCAGTATGTATATAAATATGCTTGTTTAAGTCAGGAACCATGTAGACAGTGGTGGTCTTTGGTTATATCATAGTGTTTTTGTGAATTTGGTGTTGACAGCAGATCTTTGGTTAGTTTGGTAGGCTCTGTTTAAGGTGGTACTAAACACCTTGACTAAAATTAATTTGGCTTGTTTAATTATCATAAAATTTTGACAAAATATTTACTTTGACCCTTTGACAAAAATATAAAAATTTCTTAATAAAAAACTTGAACCACATACTTTATTGGAAAAATTTCATTGGATATATAGCAGTTTGACAAACACTAATTTTGATCATTGAGAAGCTTAATATTTCATTAACAATAGATCGCGATTAAAACATTTAACGTTCAGCTGATTTTTACAGAGTTATCTCCGGGGTCAGTCCCTGTAGTGTTATGTCATGTATGTACCACCTTAATTTAATTTTGGCAATTGACAGATTGGAACTTCTCTTGTTGAAGAATATATTTACTAAATGTCTTTTCTGGAATTTTTGTATTGTTGAGTTGGCATATTTACACAATATACCTTTGAAGGTATTCAATATCTATATATATACAGTGTATATATATTACATGTTAATCTTCTACAAGACAGCTAACAAGAACACTGTCATTGGCATATACACCAACAATCATTGTACATTGTATATATTAAGTATCTTCATTGTATCTTGATCACTTCTCCAATAGAACCTCTCTTGTTTTGTAAGATAGACAAGACTCACCTTTCCTGCTGTGGTAGCACATGTTAATGCTGGGTGTTTACCATCGTATTTACCAACGGTTACCATCCGTGGATTCACCTTGTGGTGAATTTTTAAATTAAATATTGGCACCAACATGATAAATTTTCATTGGTTGCTGCAAAAAAAAAAAAGGAAGATATTAGTTACTGTTTTGTATATCAAAATAGTGCAATCATTATTAGATCTTTTGATAAATTTTAATAAATAAGCAGGTACAGCAGTATATGTTTTACCTGAGGCAGCTTTAATGCTTTCTATATTGTATTATTTTGTAAAGTACTGAATTGTTGAAGGGAGACCTGTAATTGTTCTCGTCTTTGCTCTTTGGTCAGATGTTCTATTGATAGTTATCTCATCATCGCTCATTCAGGCCATCATCCTCAACTCCTAATTTTGTTTATTTTTTTGTTTCTCAATCTCTCATACAATGGCATTACCTTTCGTGTGTTGCGTCTACATATAAATTGGAACACTTTATAGTGACTGAAAAAGGTGAACAAATCCACAGTCTTCAGAATCAGAAAATGAAGAAGACACATAGAAACAGTACCAGATCATTTGACATTGCAGCAAATAAAAGAAAACTCATGTTGGAATAGTTCCAGTTCAAGGTACAAAATGGAAAAAAAAATATTGTGAAACACACATAAACACAATAGTTTATAATTAATAAAGATATCATAATGACTTTACATGGTTATTTCCGTCATGTCTGTAATGGCCTGGTTATTGGTTTCTTGGCCTATACAGCAAGTCTTGAACCAATAATAAGGCCAATACAGAAATAATCACTTAATAATATCATAGTGTAGAATACACGACATTCAAATTTTGATTTTATGAATGAAATACCCCTTTTGACTGTCTTCATGCTTAACCACAGGCCCATCAACCCAGGCTTGTAAAATTGCTGACGGGCCTGTAAAAATCAGGTCTACAGTCTTCATGATAAACTTTACAGGACGGAGCTCAATTTTTTGTAAATTTTAGTTAGACTCTGTTGGCCTGTAGAGATGATTTTTACAGACCCAAGAGTAATTTTACAAGCCTGGGCTGCTGGGCCTGTGGCAACAAATTCATGTATAATTTTGTAAAAGAAAACAAATCTGTATCGTTGGCGCTTAATTTCAAGTGGGTACCAATATAAGTCTGTCATCATAAATTCATATCTGTAACATGTTAAGCAGGACTGCTCTTCTCTTTACTTTTTCAATTTGTGAAATTTGTTGTGGATCCCTGAATGGTTACGCAGTATCCAGTACTCTTAATTTTGGTCGGACTAGAGTAGAGCTTTGACAGCATGAGCTTTGACTGTGTGAGCTTTAACTTTAGGTGAGGCTATGTTAAGGTTTCAGCTAATAAATCGAAGAGACTGATTTGCTTTTGATCATGTAATCGATATTTTTACCCCATTTTAACATGTTTAAGTTTGATTGAAGCAATGAAGGGTTGGGCCTAAATATTTTGCAGAAATCAACTTTTTGATTTTCTTTAAATACATTTTGGACATAGATGATTGATGACACATATGTGTTGACAATTCTACATTTACATAAGATGCAATCAGAAATTTAAGAATTAAATTGCTAAATTAGTTTCATAATAACAAACTACCAGAAATAAATAAATTCTTGCAGAACTTTTGTATCGAATGAAAACATTCGCATACCGGAAGTGGAGCAGAGGTAAAGTTTTATTTCGATCTCGATATGTAATGGAAGTTTAAAGATAAAAACCCAACATGATATTTACTTCATTCAATATAGTTTGGTATAATGAAATCAAATGAATACAAAAATCTATTTTTCCTTCTTTTTTTTATAAACATTCTGCCCGATCAGGATCTGACATTTTCAAAAACAAATCCGGACCGGATACTATGTTGACATGGGATATTGGATGTGGCAATACAAAATTTTCTACATAGCATGATAAGGCATGGTCTGATTTTCATGAGAAGAGTTATTTGTTGTAAAGTACCAGTGATATTCAGAGTTCGTCAGATGTGGGTGAAAGGTTTTGCAGTGAATTCACTAAATAGGCTTAATTCTTTAAGCAGGTAAAACATGATACAGAAACATTCAAACAAGTTTGGTGTTATGACTCAGATGTAATTCAAGCTGTCTTAAGATATACACCAAGGGAGTCTTATGGTTAGGGGTCGTCCATAATTGTCAACCATTTTTCAAAGTGTACAAAGCACACGCTCATGACACGAATTATAGTTATCTCGTACCATTGTAAACTCGTACCAATGTCAACTCGTACCATTAAAAAAATACTCGTACCAATGCAAACTCGTACCACTGCTAAATCGTACCACGGTAAATTCATACCATTGTAAACTCGTACCAACTTATTTAAATGTATTGAAATGGTGTTTAATGATGAATATATACTTTAATTTCACTCAATACCTCTTAAGTCTGTAAAATGTATATAATTTGAAATTACAATGACCAATTTGTAGCTAATTTTCCTTTCCTTGTCTAATTGGATAGAGAAAACCGTGGTAGAATGGCTCTGTTGTCTCCCTTGAATAGACTCTTTTTTAAACTTTTACTGGCTGTGTTTGGATATACGCCTAAGGCAGCCTATGGTTACCCATAGGTATCTTTGGGTACCCATGGTTTGATATTTTGATATATAGAATATCAAACCAAAGGTACCTATGGATAACCATAGGCCACCTCTGGCGTATATCCAAACACAGCCATAGACAACTATTTGATTTAATTTTTTAAAATCATTCCAAATCCGTAACATTGAATAGATTTGGGTATTTTTCTATTGTTTCTAAAAGGAATTTTATTTAATGAAAGAATTATTTATTGTGTTTTAAAGGTATAAAATTGTTTATGACCAACAGTTAGAAAGTATGAAATTTATTTTTATACAATATTCAGCACATTTTAGCAGAATACCGACCGTGCAAGGGCTGAATAGCCAGTCAAGGTCGTTAAAAACTTCCATTTGTTGTTAGCAGAATATGTCCATGCTAATATGATTAAACAAGTTGATTAGTTAATAATCAACCAATAATCACACAATCAAAGGAATTAAGTAATTACACTGTAATTTTGTCTCAGTTTTCATTAAAATCTGGTATAAAATTCAGATATTTTAATTTTTTGTATAAAGCTTAAACAAAAATAATCATAAAACACTGATTCGTATTTTTGTCTAAGTTTTCATTAAAATCTAGTATAAAATTCAAGTAATTCAACTTTTTTTATTTAGTTTACCAAAAAAAAAATCATAAAACATTCGTATTTTTGAATATATTTTTAATGGTACGAGTTTGCAGTGGTACGAGTTCTGATTGGTACGACTTCCCAGTGGTACGAGTTTACATTGGTACGAGTTAACTTTTTTGGTACGAGTCTACGTGGTACGAGTTTACAATGGTACGAGTTAACTTGCTTCCCTCATGACACTAGGCTAGTGACAAGGGGAGAGGGGGTAAAAATACATGTATAATGCAGGGCTCACGCTACCAGGCGACTAGGGCGAAGTAGTTGCTTTCCAGTCCGTCATTTCGCTTTTCCGGACCCTCAAAAGCGAAAACAAGTCGCCCTGTTGTTTACGATACTTGCTTTCAGTCGCTTTCGTCATCAGACATTTTCAATTTTTACCAAGTTGATAAAACATCAATTTTTTATTGATTATTAAAGAAATTCAGACATAAACAATTCATTTTCTTAAGAAAAGAGGTTTAAGCATTGACTTTACAGTGTGTAGCAGGTTATTTAATAGAAAGACAACTTTTTATCACTGCATGCACTTCCGGTACCTGTTACTCAGAGAGCGTTCATCAATCTAAATTTGGGCGGCAAAATAAGTTTGTTACTTTATTTGAAAGTGATAAAAGTTGCCTCCAGTAAATGTTTAATCCATTTATTGCAGTACAAACGTCATATTCCTTTCCAAATAGCTTGTCAAACATCGTTTATTTTGTAAATTTTCTTCGTCTGCCATTAATCGTTTACTAACTACGGATCAGAACCGGACTAGCTTTGACCGAAATCCGTATTTTTACAACAATTACTACGGACGCATGAATGGAAAAGCTGACAGAAGAATATTGATCCCAAAAGGAAAAATTACACATTCCACACGCATTAACGGACTTTTGGTTAAATCTAATTGATTAATGTATATAATTCCATATAATTTATATGGATTGTTTCAAAATATTGATTAAAGTTGCTTAACTACTAATATCAATATATTATGGCCCAGCTTAAATTTGTATATCTTTTGATGAGAAACACTGAATTTCATAACATGATAAATAAGATAGTTTTTAATTGAATTGTAATTCATATTTTATAATTTCTTTACCTTTTTGACATAAAAAAAAATTCTTTTTAGTGCTAGATATTTAGTTGGTAGTTTCTAACAAGAACCTTAACTTAAACAACTTTGAATTTGAACTGTTAATTTAATTGTATACTCAGATATGAATTGAACAATATAAAAAGAACATTATTTACATATGACCCTTTATACTATATTAAAATCAAAACATTGTAGCGCAACACACGAAGGAGCACTTGAACTCTTTCAAATCTCACCACTTCTCCCTATCAGTTTCAAAAAGAGAAGTCACTTCTCCCTATGATTCTGAAGTAGTGTGAGCTCTGATAATGGTCCTTTTTGGCAAACGCTTTTTTTTTTCTAGATTCTGGAAATTTTCTTCTTTTACACAGAACTAAATTTTATTTATTATCGCAATGAAGCAAACTATCATCTGTGCATTTGATAATAATGTGAAATTGAAAGATAAAAGTAATCTATTCTAAATATATGCGAAACTGATTTTCATAATGCAACGTTAACAAGACAACAAAATAAAAAAAAATCAAGGCAAATGGATCCAGTCCAAACAGGTATTAGGGTGAACAGACCTAGGGCAACAGGTACTAGGGTGTACTGACCGGAATTCATGGCTTGCTAAACATTTTTTTGGTTTGTTTGTTGATCAAACATGAGGGTTCAACCCAGGCTCTCTTCAATTCATGAGGCTAATGCACAATGTAGATTATGGCACGACTGGGACCAACAGACACAGTGTAAGGATGAGAAAAGGGCCATTGGCACAATTCCATGGTTTTCTATCCCTCTGACACTTGTAATATCATAAATCTACATAAAATTATCTAAAAATGGTGTATAAATATGGCTTATTTTTTCAGGTCCAGGAAGATAATTGGTGGAATATTAGTGTTCCTAGTATTTCTATATTTACTTGGTTCCAGAATTCCCAGCATTGGACAAAAATCATCACCAGTTGATGGTAAAAATTATGTTTATGGCAGTGTTGTCTGTTTAGTATGAACACAATGAATATGACAAAAAATAAACAAAAAACTTTTCAGAATCAATTATATAGATATGTCAGTTTTCCACACTTTGAGAGGCTTTAAGAGTTATATTTCTTTGGTGCTGGATGAAATATTACTAAATCAGGTTGAAAATTATGAGGACTTATTTTGCAAATATTTTGACATTTTTCATACAAGTCTATAGAAAGGTCTAACTTTCATGACTTTTAAAGTCTGAACTTTTATATGGTAGTAATGTGAATAAATCAATGTGTTTTACTGCAGGTCAAAATTTTATTAATCAGCATGATTAGTGATAAATGTTAACTTGTAAAGAAAGGGAAAAAGAAAATCAATGAAAATATACTTATAATAACTAACTAAAGCTGACAAGCTATGGCAGTAGAAATATCATACATTTTATTCTATCATAAATGAAAATCTACATGATATACTGATGAAAATTAAATTTTTTTTCAGAAACGGCTTCATTATGTATAGATGACAATCTAAGGTTTCTAAGAGGTGAAGTTAAAAAATATGATGCATTTATAAATCACAACCCACAGATTGCTGGAGAGCAATTCTACCCAGCTTATGTTGGTAGGTTTACATTTATCAAATATATCGCTTACAGTTTTGGAATCATTATGTTTAAGTCAAACTAAACTGAATTGATAGAGAAGGAGTTTTCAGAATTATAATAACTGAATTAAGTAACAAATTCAGAGTACTCAAACATGTAAGAATTTAGTCTGATTTCTGTAGATCAGAACCATGGTAAAAATGTGATCTGCCCACCTGTAAAGTTTGATCAAGATGGAATCCATCACAATGCAAAGTTGAATTGGAAAATTGATAGAGAAAATGAAATTTAGTCTGAAGTGGTCATTTTAATGTTGACATGATATAAAATGTTTGAACATAAATAAAATGTTAAGTCTTGTTAAAATCTTCAGTTATTTTCCTGCTATTAAATCCAGTTACATGTACATGCATGTTCATTCATTTTGCAAAGAGTTATCCACAGCTGTTCAGTCACTTTTTGTAATTTATTGTTGTGCACTAGTAAATACATTCTCTAAACAGTCAGAGCTCTGACATAAACAAGTCAGAATAAAATGACTTCTTCAAGTCGGAAAGTGTTTTGAAATTCTGACCTGTACGCGTCAATTTTTGTTTTGCGTAGTTTTCACTTGAGTCCGTCAAACCAGAAGTTATTTTGAATTTGCCGCCGATCTACGACACATACGATCACATGGTTTTTTGCAAGAGATCACGTGTTTGAGAGTCGTTGTTTTGGAAGTGTCTCGAACGAGAAGTCATTGAATATTATATTGATTATTTACGATTTTTAGTGAAAATCTAGGTCATTGTGGGCATTTTTAGAAAGGTAATTCATATTACCTCCATATTTTCATGGGCATTTTTATATTTTTTGCCTATAAAGAAGTTCCTTGCAAGTGATTTTCTTGCTGTTTCATGAAGGCGCGCGACCGGTAAATACGGACGCGTGGTCTTTGAGATGACCTGGTGTTTGACAATTCTGACTTGTTCAGGTCAGAAAATGTTGTTATGACAATGAATTGTTATTTTCGGGAGATAACTCGTGTTGTCTTAAACAATATTAACATTATTAACCAGTCAGTGCAATTTAAAAAGTAAAATAATTGCTTCGAGCTGAACATCGTCACATGATTTTTCTATTTTTAAACTCAATGACGAATTGATTTTTTAACCTTTCTGATTCGTTTCTCCCTATGAGAAAAACGATCATTGTGAATATTGATATGATGATAATGAAACGAAAATGGGAAAAATTTTAATAAAAGAAAAAGGAAGGGAGGGGTTTAACTAAAGAACCCAAGGGTTTTTTTTATTTTTAAAGTTATAACTTGAGAACAATAAGTGATGCACATACCTGGTCTTCATTTATGATCATGGGACATGATAAAACAAATCAAATGAAATGTAGGGCAAGTCTCCAGGGATCACCCCTATCCCTGTCATTTCTCTATTCCTTTTTATACGACCGCAAAAAAATTTTGTGGTCGTATATTGGTATGACGTTGGCATCGTCGTCGTCCGGCGTCGTTGTCCGAAGACACATTGGTTTTCGCACTCTAACTTTAGTTTAAGTAAATGGATCTTTTTGAAATTTTACCATAAGGTTAAATACCACAAAAGGAAGGTTGGGATTGATTTTGGGGGTTATGGTACCAACAGTTAAGGAATAAGGGGCCAAAAAAGGGCCAAAAATAAGCATTTTCTAGTTTCCAGACAATAACTGTGGAACGGTGTATGGATCTCTCTGAAATTATACTACAAGTTTCCATACCACAAAGGGATGGTTAGGATTTGCTTTGGGGGGTTATGGCTCAAACCGTTTAGGAATTAGGGGCAAAAAAGGGGGAAAAACAAGGTTGTCCTGGTTAATGGACAAATACTTTAGTACAAAACATAATTTAAAGCAGTGTAAGGGAGATAAATCAAATACATCATTGAAATTATCTCCCTTACACTGCTTTTAAATTATGTATAAAGTAATGGTTAATGAACAATAAAGATAATTTAAAACAGTGTAAGGGAGGTAATCCAAATACAACGTTTTGGTTACTTCCCTTACACTGCTTTTAAATTATGTTTAAAGAAATGCATATTTATAAAGGAAGACCAGTAAAAATATCTGCAAATGTTGCATCTTTTTTTTTTACAAAAAAATCCATATGAAATATTTGACACTATATTTTTAATTCTATTATAAAATAGATTAAGTTAGCACTATGGTAAATTTAAATGGGTAATTATGGTTGCCAACTCCATTGGAAATTTGAATTGAGATTATGACCATATCTTGAGGGAATGAATTTTTTGGGGGTAAAAAGGGGGGGGGGGGAGGGGGGGGGGGTGATAAAAAGAAATTGTGGGGGGTCAATTTTTTCTCATCTCAGATTTCAGAAATTAAAAAAATTATTCTTCAAATATTATTTTTTTTTCAAATTTCAAATATTGAAAAATTTCAAGAAGAAATCTTTAATTGCACAGTATGGCGCATTAGATTTGTAAAATCTTTGATCACATTTATTTATTTGTTATGCCGAATCCAACAGTGTACATGTATTTTGGGTCCAGTTTTCAAATTGGTCTACATTAAGGTCCAAAGGGTCCAAAATTAAACTTTGTTTGATTTTAGCAAAAATTGAATATATGAGGTTCTTTGATATGCTGAATCTAAACATGTATTTAGATTTTTGATTTTTGGCCCAGTTTTCAAGTTGGTCCAAATTGGGGTCCAAAATTAAACTTTGTTTGATTTCAACAAAAATTGAATATATGGGGTTCCTTGATATGCTGAATCTAACCATGTATTTAGATTTTTTATTTGTGGACCCCGTTATCAAATTGGTTCATATTGAGGTCAAAAGGGTCCAAAATTAAACTTTGTTTGATTTCATCTAAAATTGAATTATTGGGGTTCTTTGATATTCCAAATCTAACCGTGTATTTAGATTTTTAATTTTGGGTCCTGTTTTTTAAATTGGTCTACATTAAGGTCCAAAGGGTCCAAAATTAAACTTAGTTTGATTTTAACAAAAATTGAATTCTTGGGGTTCTTTGATATGCTGAATCTAAACATGTATTTAGATTTTTTATTATGGGCACAGTTTTCAAGTTGGTCCAAATTAGGGTCCAAAATTAAACTTTGTTTGATTTCAACAAAAATTGAATATATGAGGTTCTTTGATATGCTGAATCTAACCATGTATTTAGATTTTTTATTTGTAGGCCACGCTATCAAATTGGTTCATATTGAGGTCAAAAGGGTCCAAAATTAAACTTTGTTTGATTTCATCAAAAATTGAATTATTGGGGTTCTTTGATATGCCAAATCTAACTGTGTTTTTAGATTTTTAATTTGGGTCCCGTTTTTTAAATTGGTCTTCATTGAGGTCCAAAGGGTCCAAAATTAAACTTAGTTTGATTTTAACAAAAATTGAATTCTTGGGGTTCTTTGATATGCTGAATCTAAACATGTGTTTAGATTTTTGATTATGGGCCCAGTTTTCAAGTTGGTCCAAGTTGGGGTCCAAAATTAAACTTTTTTTGATTTCAACAAAAATTGAATATATGGGGTTCTTTGATATGCTGAATCTAACCATGAATTTAGATTTTTTATTTGTGGGCCCGCTATCAAATTGGTTCATATTGAGGTCAAAAGGGTCCAAAATTAAACTTTGTTTGATTTCATCAAAAATTGAATCATTGGGATTCTTTGATATTCCAAATCTAACCGTGTATTTAGATTTTTAATTTTAAGATCCGTTTTTTAAATTGGTCTACATTAAGGTCCAAAGGGTTCAAAATTAAACTTTGTTTGATTTTAGCAAAAATTGAATTCTTGGGGTTATTTGATATGCTGAATCTAAACATGTGTTTAGATTTTTGATTATGGGCCCAGTTTTCAAGTTTGTCCAAGTTGGGGTCCAAAATTAAACTTTGTTTGATTTTAACAAAAATTGAATATATGGGGTTCTTTGATATGCTGAATCTAACCATGTATTTTGATTTTGGACATTGGACCATAATAGGTAAATTAAAAAAATTCAAGTTCTTAGACCACATTCTTTCTGTGTCAGAAACCTATGCTGTGTCAAATATTTAATAACAATCCAAATTCAGAGCTGTATCAAGCTTGAATGTTGTGTCCATACTTACCCCAACTGTTCAGGGTTCGACCTTTGCGGTCGTATCAAGCTGCGCCCCAGCGAAGCATTTTATTATAATGTCAAATTGATTTGAATGAAATATACCGGGCTAGTCTCCAGGTTTACTCCACCCGCTGCCATTTGCAAATGTTCTTATATTTTGTAAACGGTAGAGATCCCCACCCCTAAACCGTATATATTCTTGTATGGGACAATTTAACAAATCAAATGATATGTTGGGGAGGTCCCTGGGGGTCACCCCCTACCCCTTCTGTTTGAAAACTTGTAAACGGTCGAGATCCCCACCCCTAAACCATATATTTTCTTGAATAGGACAATAAAACAAATCAAATGAAATATAGGGGAAGTCCCTTGGGATAACCCCCACCCCCTCCTGTGTGAAAACTTGTAAACAGTCGGGATCCCCACCCCTTAACCATATATATTCTTGTAAGGATCAATAAGACAAATCAAATGAAATAAAGGTGAAGTCCCTGAGGGTCACCCTACCCCCTCATGTTTGAAAACTTGTAAACCGTCGAGATCCCCACCCCTAAACCATATACATTCTTGCACAGGACAATAAAACAAATCAAATGAAATATAGGGGAAGTCCATTGGGGTCATCCCCATCCCCCTTTTTGAAATGTTCTGGATCACCACCCCTAAAGGTAAACCATATGATATTCCTGTTCGTCATTTCAAGAAGATTTGAATGACATGCAGGGTCAAACCCTAGGCGTCATTTATGCATAACACTTTACTAGACAAAACCAATTTGTACTGGAACTTGCCCAATGTCAGGCAACCAGGGGAATGGCGAATTATGGGAGCTTTGTTTGGGAGACTTCGTAACAGCATCCTGTTACAATTATTTCTTGTTTATTTTAATCTGCT